GGGCCTGTAGGTGACTGCGGTAGGAAGAGTGGTGGGTGGCAGAGGCCAAGGGCCTTGAAATCAGGGGAGTGGTAAGGAAGGAAGCAGAGAGAATGGTCAGGGAAGCGCCAGCAATGTAGAAGCAGCAGAGGGGAGCAGACAGGACCCCCTCCTGGCCCCGTGGCACAAGGCAACATGGCAGGCAAACCACCCAGCAGTTGAGAGGGCTGTAGGGATGGCAGCATCCTCAGAGGGGAAGGGAACCAGGTTTTCGTTAGAGCAAGAAGGTGAAGGCACTGTTCAGAGGACAGTTTGAGGATAGAGGGTCTTTTGCTAATGAAGAGTCAGTGGGTTCCAGAGGGTAGGCTGCCCAAGTTTCTAGAACTGAGGGAAGGTGGCAGATGAGGTCAGATTAGGGGGAGGGGGTTAGAATTCAGGTGTTGGGTGGTGACCTGGGAGTTTAAGGCTTCTTTTTTTTTTTTTAATATTTTATTGATTGATTTAGAGCACAGCAAGTGCACACACCAGGCAGGGGGAGGGGAGGGAGAGAATCCCAAGCCGACTCCACGCTGAGCATGGAGTCACACTCGGGGCACGATCTCACGATCTCGAGATCACAACTTGAGCCAAAACCATGAGTCGGGTGTTTAAGCAACTGAGCCACCCAGGTGCCCCAGAGTTTGGGGCTTCTTATAGTGACTGAGGTGACCAGGGATGGAGGGCATAATGGGATCGCTTGTCTCCATGGCAAAGCATGGTGGTTCGGCTGGCAGGGTTGCGCACTGGGAGAAAGGAGGTCATACTCTGGCCATGGACAGAGCCCGTGCCCGTCATGTTTTAGGCAGTCTGAACCCAAAGGCCTGCTGGGGTTTATCAGTCTGCTCTTTGGATTAAAAAAAAAAAAAAAAAAAAAAAAAAGGATGTTGTCTTGGGTGTGAGAAGGAAGCTAATGACCTGTGTAGTTTAAAACATTTTTAGTGATTTTTGTTTTTCAATCGCTGTGATGGTAGGACTTTTGGTCTAAAGCCTCAGGAATCTTCCCGCTAAAAAGGCACCAGGATAGGTACGTTGGAGTAGCATTCCAGATGCGAGCTCTGTAGGGCCGAAATGCATCAGCGAAGCGGAACTTCTGGGGCAAGTATGGCACTTTCCAGATTGTGTTTGTGCAAATGGGGAAAAGAGGGTGGCGGAGGCTCTGTGAGAAAGTTTTGGGGACTCAGGACAGATCAGTGCTCAGTAAAGAAAACAACCCGTTTTCTTCTTCAGTGCTGAACGTCCTTTACCCCCGTCCTTGCCCCATCTCTTCTTCATTTTTTTTTTTAAGATTTTATTTATTTGAGAGAGAGAATGTGCTCGAGTGGGAGGAGGGGCAGAGGAAGAGGGAGCGAGAATCTGAAGCAGACCCCATGCTGAGCACGGAGCCTGCCGTGGGGCTCGATCCCACCACCCTGAGATCATGACGAGCTGAAACCAAGAGCCGGACACTCAACCGACTGAGCTGCCCAGGCGCCCTGCCCCGTCTCTTATTTGGATGTCATTTCATAGCTCTGTGGCTCAGTTTCCTTATCTGTCAAGTGGGGATGACCATTGTTCTTGCTTCACGGAGACTTGTAATGGTTAAGTGCGATAGCGCCTGTAAAAGTGTGTACCCAGCGCATGACGCAAAAGTACTTAGTAAGCGTTGTTATGAAGTGACAGGGGGTTGATTCTTGCTCCCATTCTGCTCCCTTCTTCCTGCAACTTGTTTTTTTTTTTTCCTTACGCTGCCCTCTTCTCTTTCATCTCCTCCCTTCCTCTCTCTCCCAGTCCCCCCCCCCCGCCCCCCCCCCCACACACTTCCTCCTTTGCCTCTCTCCCCCTTCTCCTCTCTGGCTGGGGCTTTCGGCGGTGCCCACACCTGGTTTTACACTCTCCATGGCCCTTCTGAGGTGGGGAACTCTTGAAATAGGGGGTGAGGCAGCCCTCTGAGGAAGGAAAATGTTTCTGGGGGGGGCAGCCTCCCAGCCACCCTGAGATTTGTGACCAGGGTGCCTAGAGAGTCACAGAGGGCTAGTGCCAAGAGCCTCGGGAGCTGAGAGGCCTGTGTTGTCGGCCAGGTCTGGCCACTGCCTGATATGGGGCCTGGGCTCCCAGTGGACCAGAGCAGGCCGCGACGGTGAGGAGTGCGCGGACAGGGAAAGACGGGGCCCAGTTCCCATGTGGAGGGTTACCGCACACCCACGAATCACAGCCGTGTCACGCTTCTTTAGGAGGGAGGGGAACAGGAGGGTAGGGTGCTGGCTGATACTATAAACTCTAGAGCCAGACTGCCTGGGGTTGGGTTCTGTCTCTGTTACCACATGAGCTGGGTGTGCCTAGGCAGCAAAGCTCTCTGCGCCTCAGCCTCTCCTATCTGGAGATAATTGCAACAGCACAGTCGTTAGGAGGACTAGATGAATTGATAGTGAAGAAAGTGCTTACTCGTTCTAGGCATTCAAGTACCGTATGCATGTGTGTTATATTAAAAATTTAAAAAAAAATTGAGACACCTGGGTGGCTCAGCCGGTTAAGCATCTGCTTTCAGCTCAGGTCATGATCCCCAGGGTCCTGGGATCGAGTCCTGCACCGGGCTCCCTGCTCGGCGGGGAGTCTGCTTCTCCCTCTGCCTGCCACTCGCCCTGCCTGTGCTCGCTCGCTGTCTCTGACACAGAAAGTCTGAAAAAAAAGACCTCTAAAAGTTTTTTAAAAATGACAACAATCTTAGAACAGTGTGATTATTTTCATTTTACTGGTGCTGAAACGGGTGGCGAGGTTAAGTGACTTGCTGGAGCCCATAGGGCTATTGAGGGGCCTAATGAAATCTGGAAGCACAGATTTGACAGACTCCGAAATTGTGGCTCGTAGCCGCAGCGCTAAACTGCTTCCCTGGACATGCAGGTGAAGAGTGTGATTTCTAGGAGGCCAGGAGGCCTGGAACGGAGGGAGAAGCAAGCAGGCGCTGAGAGTCCAGGGGATAAACAGCAGCTAGGGTCCAGGAGGTGAGCAGAGGTCCTGCTTGAGGACATGGCTGGCTCCCCAGGCCTGTTCCAGGGAGAGGTCAAGTCCCTTAGGTAGCCAAAGAGTCGGATTACAGCCAGAGGGCTGAACCTTCCTCCTGGGACCTTTTCCTCCTTGCCTGTTTTCTGGGTGACCACAGTCAAGCTAGTTAACCCTTTTGTACCTCAGTTTCCTCATCTGTCAAGGAAGAAGGATACTTGGCCTGCCTACCTCACAGGGTTTTTGAGAGGCATCAGTGGCTCATGGATCTGGAAACAGTTGAAAAAGCATGAAGCAGTCCCCAATTCCAGATGAGAGGGTGAGCCCAGATCCTCTTACTGTGAGGCTCCAGTGCGGGCCTCCGAGTCCTCCAAAGCTCATGCTAGTGATGTCCACTGTCAAAGCCTTTTCCGTCAATTCCAGCATGGTCTGTGGAGCCATGTAGAACCTCGTCTCTTTTTGGGGGGATTTTACGTCCCTCTGTGAGCATAAAATAGTAGTTGAGCCCCGTCTGGGTCCGTGGGAAATTTTCCTTCTGTGTGGGCTTTTATTTTCAAGGGCCAGAACCAGCGTCTCTTTCCAGGGTCCACAGTCATCCCAGCCCCCATTCTGGGCGCTCTGCCATCCTTTGGTTCCAGCCCTTGGCACAAGGCAGACTTGGGCTGTTGTTAGCGCACAGTCTTGGTTCTGTGCTTGCCTTGTAGGGAACAGGGAGGCAGCTGACCCTTCCCCCGGGTGTCCTTGTCTCTCTGGGCTTCCCTTTAGGGCTGTGTGTGTGTGTGTGTGTGTGTGTGTGTGTGTGTGTGTGTGTGTTGTGGGCCGTGGAAGCCCCAGAGGCCAGGCCTCGTGCCAGTTGCTGAAGTTTTTTTTTTTTTTCCCTCTAGAATTGAGTTGGCCATCCAGCTGTTTCCACTCCTTGCCCTCTGCCAAACTCTGTGGCACGGTCCACCGTGCCAGGTGGAAACCATGCTCTGCTTCGGGAATCCGGAGCTTCCATTTTGAGAGAGGCAGAAAGCCGCAGCAAGTGAGCCCGCGTGTCGGAGGGCGAGTGAGGGTGGGGCTGCTCCCTTTGGCAAGCCTTTGTCAGAATTGGCCCAGCTGCTTGGTCTTCACCCAAAAGTAGGGCTAACTCTGGACCGACCCCAAATATCTAGCAGGGAAACTAGTCTTGGGTCTAGACCAAGCCAGACCTAGAAACTACTTTTTTTTAAAAAAAAAAAATCCAGAAAATGGGAATAAGAAATCCTACTACACACGTTCTTCATGTCAGCCGAGAAATAAGCTTTTAGACCGTCCAACCGCCTTCTCACCAGGAGCAAGAAGTGACATCAGGTTGTGTTTCTTCAAGTATATCCCATAGACTACTGAGGGTTCTGTGAACAAAAAAAGGAGGGGCACCTGGGTGGCTCAGTCGTTGGGCGCCTGCCTTCAGCTGAGGCCATGACCCCGGGGTCCTGGGATCGAGCCCCACATCGGGCTCCCTGCTCCTCGGGAAGCCTGCTTCGCCCTCTCCGACTTCCCCTGCTTGTGTTCCCTCTCTCACGTCTCTCTCTGTCAAATAAATAAGTAAATAAGTAAATAAATAAAGCTTTATTAAAAAAATAGGCACTGGCGCACTAAGTTTGGGAAACACTAGATAAACCATTTTAGGCAGGTTTTGTCGTTGCAGAGACCACCCAGATCCTCACTATACCACCAGGATACATGGTGACCCTCCAGGGGATCTAGTCTGTGTGACATTTCTTCCATTGTAACTAGCTTTCTTCGTGGAACATTCTTTAAGCACCATCCCTGCCAAATATGCTTTGGAAGCTGCCAGCCCAGGTTCTAAGTGTCTGTCCCTTCCATTCTTTTTCTCCCTCATTGTGAAGGGAGGTGAGCCCCGGAAACGCATGGGAGGGGGTTACGATGCGGGTCCCAAAGAGCAAGGGCGTTTCGCTTCAGAGGCTATTGACATGAGTGTTTCCTGCTCTGAAACACCTCTTCCCCGTCTCCTGTCCTTACAGCTCCCCTTCGAACTGGAGATTTACTACATTCAGCATGTTATGCTCTACGTGGTACCCATCTACCTGCTTTGGAAAGGAGGTAAGGCCAGTGAACCATACCTTTGTGCCCCTGCCACACCTTGTCGCGCCCTTCTGTTTGGGGGGATGGCAGTCTGTTGGGTGTCTGTCAGGATCTTGGCCTCCTGCCTGGCCGGCTGTCTGCAGGATGTCTTATGCCACACGCCAGGGGTGGGGAGATGGGCACTGATAAGGCCTGCAAAGAGTCTGGGGGGCTTTTCAGAACCATCCTTTGTGGGCGAGCATGGTGCCACTAACTGTGTGTCCTAGGGCCTAGGCCTCGGGCTCGTCGTCTGTGGTGGCATCGGGTTTGCATGGAGCCCCCCCCGCCCCACCCCCTGTCACTCGCTCGTGCTGTGCCTTCCCCCTGCAGCACAGGGTTAGAGAGAGAGATGGAAGCCCCCAGCCCTCTCAAGAGAGGGACCTTGAGCCCTTGCTCATTATATCCATCCTCTCAGAACCAAAGAAGATATTGAGAGGGGCAAGAAGTTCAGGGACTGTGGGGTTATAGGATGGAAGGAAGAAGCAGGTAAGAGAAGAGTGATCACCTTATAAAATAAACCACTGATGACCTTGATTCTGTCACAAGGGAGAGACAACGAACTTGGGAGAGACAGCCTAGGAAGGAAACTGACTGAACTCTTTGTGACCTCACAGGGACCCTTAAGGTATCCCCTCCCTCCTCTCTTATATGGTAGGTAAAAGGGGAGTTCCCATCCCTTCTAGAAGAGTTGTCAGAGGCCTCCCTCTCAGGGCTCTAACCTCCCTGAAAGGCCCGTACCTGGAAGGCATCCCCTTCTAGTCTCAGCTACTAGCCTCTCTATGTTGGTTGCTGGGACTTTTCAGGGAGACCGCTCCCCCACCTCAATTCAAGCAGCAGGTCCTTCATTGCTATGCATTTAAAATGACATGAGGCCACATGGGCCCTTGAAGCCACCAGAAGATGGTTTGGAAGGTGTGCTTCCTCTAACTCAGGAATCCTGGAAAATCTCGAGAACTCCTGGCCTAAGCCAGCCTCAAGGACCAAGTCAACCTCGAGATATGTTGGAGGATGGGCACAGTTGCTCTCCATGGAGTCTCCTGCCAGTGGAGAGATTGGCCCCCGGTGCCCTGGTTTCTGTCAGCGTTCTTAGGATTTGTCTCAGTATTCTTTGAGGCTGTTTTTACCCCGTGCAGCCACTTGGGGTCTCACCAAGTCAGAGAACACTTCCTTTTAATTTGCTCTAAAGGTACTATTCGCCCCCCCCCCCCCCCCCCCCCCCCGTCTAAGTTTAAGGAACGTCTCAATATCCAGGAGCCGTGGGCCAGTTTTCAGGTCTGTCTCCTGTGGCGCAGGAAACAGCTTCCTAATAATATCCAAGTCTGGGGGATACATGCTTTCTGAATAGAACCAGGCGGGCCGCTGTCTCTAGCTCCAGACTGCGCCCCCCCCCCCCCCCCCCCCAGCTGAGGCAAGTTCTGGCCAAAGGTGCGTGGCTCTTAGTTAAACCTATCTGTGCTCTGAGGTGCCCATAAAAGTCTGTTAGGTAGCCGAGCTGACTCTTCTGACGTGGGAAATACCAAGTAGCCATCCCCACTGCCCTCTCCACCCCCCCCCCACAAAACCCCACAATCTGGGAAGCTGCAGCTTCTAGAAGTCATAGATGCCACTGCAGCCTTCTGTTGGATCTATTGCAGCACTGTTTGGGGGGAACCGAGCGGAGGAAGTAGAGATTCCGAGGTTTCATTCCAGTTTATATCTCACTGTTAGTGATTCTTTCCTCTCTCCTCTGGTACCTCTGTAAAAACTCTAACAGTAATTATGACCATAGTAAACACCAACTTTGTCTTGAGTGTTGCCTGTGTGCGAGATACTTCGCTAGGCCCGTTCTGTGCGTCTTCTCATCATAACCAACCCTGGTGGAAAATGCCCCTTCTACAGAGGAGAAAACCAGGGCTCAGAAATGTGAGGTACCTCGAGCTCCCAGCCTTAAGTAGCAGAGCCAGGATTCAAAGCCTTCCCTCTCAGAGCAGCGCTTTTCCCCACACACTTTGTTGTCCTAAAAGGCAGGTGCCTGTCTCCTAACCACATCCGGTTGGGAGTCTCCCCTCCAGCCAGCCGCCCCCACGGTGTCTTTGTCGAACCCCTACTACGTGCCCAGCATTCGCACCAGGGAATCAGAGATTCCCCGCCACAGGGAGTCCCTGTCTAGGGGGGACGGGAGCGTTGTACTTGTAATACAGCGGGATTAAGTGCGACAGAGGGCACTAGGGGAACATAATCCGATTCATTTGTTACCATTTCTGGGCCCTTGTAAAGCCTCCGCTTCCTTCCTGGCTCTTTGCTGTCATCTGCTGTTCGCTTGGGGGAAATTACGCACGCTTAGAGAAAAGGCTAGATTTCCTAAGGCGGGTTTCACCTTTGGCCGCGAACCTCGGACCTGGGCCTTGCAGAGGGCGAATCCATCCGGAGTGAGCAGGGGGAAGATGACTCCCCGTAAATCAAAACAGCTGAGGGGTTGGGCGATTCTCTCTCCTAGAAGTCTCGTAATTTCCCAGACATAACTGACTTCGGAGTGTCTGCCCAAGGCAAGACAGCTCTCCTGTAGATACCTCCCACGGCCAGGAGACCTGTTTTCCTGAAAGGCTTGGGGGTGGCTGGGTGGTGCTCAGCGGGATCCCGTTCCCCCTTGGTTTCTGTGGTCTTTTGGCACCGCCGCAGGAAACAAGACATCCTTTCCCCCCCCCCTCCACTGTTCTGTTCTTCCTCCAGCCTGTCTTTTAATTTCTGTTTCCTCTCCTCCCAGCTCCTTGCCTTTGGCTCTCTGGAACTACAGTTGATCCTTGAACAATGCGCAGGTTAGGGATGTCCCCCCACCCCCACAGCCTGATACCCATGCACAACTTCTGACTCCCCCCCTAAATTTAAATCCTAATAGCCTCCTCTTGACCGGAAGCCTTACTGGTAAGAGAAACTGTCAGTTAGCACCTAGTGCGTATGCCATATGTATTATGTACTGTATTCCTACAATAAAATAAGCTGGAGACAAGAAAATGTTATGAAGAAAATCATAAGGAAGAGAAAACACATCTCTGGTACTGTTCTGTATTTGTCAGGAAAAAATCCACATCTGAGTAGACCTGCACAGTTCAAACCCGTGGTGTTCAAGGGTCAACCATACCGTTTTTAGAACCCCATCGCCACCGACATAACCAGCTCTCCATAGAACACCTAGCCCTCCTGTCTCTTGCCCGAAGCTCCCTCTAATGGACGCTGCTCTCCCTATTCAGCCACATAGGCTGTCGGCGCCCCTTCTCCCGCCATCTCTTCCAGACCAGTATTTCATTTCTCCCTTCGATGAAAATGCTTTCTCCTTTACCATTCTCTCCACCTTTTTTTTTTTTGTCATCACTACTACCACCCTTGGCTGCTTCCCCGTATTCCTAAATGCCTTTGGCCCCTGGCACTCGATCGTTTCTATTACGACTCCCACCAGTGTCCATGAGGGTTTCTAGTGAAGACCACTTGTCCCATTCCAGCTTCTCGGAGTTTGGGCTTCTCCACTGCAGTGACTTCTGTCACTTGTGTCTCCAGCCAACCGACCTTGCCCTCCCCCTGCCCCTAAAACTCCTCTACCTGAGATCCTTAGCCCCTATGTCCCTTTCTGTGACCCGAATCTCTGCTCTTTCAGGATTCCTCGCCTTCCCAATTAGCTCGTCCCACTCTAACCAGTTACTGGAGCTTTCCTTTCACCAGCTCCGAAAGTGCTTCAGCCCTTCATCCTTTCCACGGGGATCAGCATCCAGTCCCAGTGCCCAGCCTTGGCCTACTGGGGGAAATCTCTCGAGTCATTCAGATTTGGGGCCACTAAGATTTCATGGTCTGTTATAATTGTGCTCTCAGCACCATCGCTTTGTGTTCTGTCTTTGGTCCGCTGTGCTACACATTGCCCTGAGAGGTCATGTGCTGAACCTTTACCACCCACCTCAGACTTCCTGCCCTCCCCGCTGTCAACCAAGGACTGAGAAAACAGAGATTTCCAGGCAGGAATCCCCTCCGTTATTTCCCTCTGCTCTAAAAGCTGCTTCACCCACTGCCATCCTTACCTGTTGTCTTGGAGGAAGGGGTGTTGTGGTTAACTTTCCTCCCTTCCCATCCTCTGGAACTCCGTGCCATCAAGTATCACTCGTGTACTTGGGTTTTCTTTTCTTTTCCTTTTGTTTCATTTACCTGGATTTTCAGCTCTTTCTTTCACTCCTGGCTTTTCAGCCAAGAAGGATGCTGAAGTCTTCCCATTCTAAAAAAGAAAGTTTCTCTCGACCCTGCACCATCTCTTTTCATCTTCCCTTCCCAGCTAACCATCTTCATAGATTATCAGCCAAACAAGATTTCCTGAACTTCAGTTCTTTGGGCATGACAACTTGTGCCTTATCCACAGAGCCATCTGTATTATTATGTATTTAATATATGTCCTTAAGTCTACTGATTTTTCTTTTTCCTAAAATATATTTGTTTGCGGGGCACCTGGGTGGCTCAGTCGGCTAAGCATCTGCCTTTGACTGAGGTCAAGGTAGTGGAGGGTCTACTTCTCCCTCTCTCTCTGGCCCCCTCCCCCCGCTCTCTCGCAAATAAATAAAAATCTTAAAAAAATTGTTTTATATATGTATAAATAAGTATACATTTATATATTTATAACTCTATATTTATATATATATGAATTTATAAATATACATATATATGTTTTTCTAAAATATGTTTGTGCTCAATAAAATCCCGGATTCAGTGCACTGGTGACATATTTTTAATACACTTTAAATGCATAGCTATTAAAAATGAAACGTTTACCTGTTTACCACCCGAAATCACCCCAGGAACGGAACATAACTGTGGGTAGCACTTGCCTGCATTTGATGACCCCGTCTACTCAATTACCTCCCGTCCCTCAGAACACTGCCATGGGATATCTCTCTCCCCGCTGCCCACCGCTTCACAGAAATAACACTGCTGACCATTACTGACGACGCCTACCTGACCAAATCTAA